TCGTTTTTTGTGCGTGCAACAGCAACAGCAGCAGCAGCAGCAGCAGCGGCAGCAACGACGGCGATGGCAGCGGCAATAATGCGCTGTGCTGGCACTTTTGACAACAACAAAAATGTTAATGATAGCAAAAACAGCAACAACAATGGAAAGAACCGCTAGCAGCAAAGCCAGCGTCATCATCGCCGCCGATGTCCGCAGCAGTTCCGTTCGCTTTGTGCGCTTTTTAAATTGCAACTGAAATATGCGTTAATTTATGTTGCGTTGTTAAGCCCACACCCCCAGCAACCTTCTGTTCGACCAGCTACAACCTACAACCTCCTTCCCACGACCAACACCAACACCAACCACCCGCTTATCCCCATCCTCAGGCATCCATCTCTCTTTTTTTGTGCGTAAAATTGCGCCTTCCTTCGCCACTCCACCTTCGCTGCCGCCTCATTATCAGCCCGCCTTCCTGCCACGAGGCTGCAACGAATCAGTTTTCCCTATTGAAACTCCCTGCCCGATCCCCCTCGGAATCCCTCTCTGTATTGGTTTCAGTAAAAAGTATTATAAAATTTCCCCTTTTTTACCATTTTAAATCTCTAGTACTCACAACGAATTTAATAGTTTAAAAAATATTTCCTTTATTTCAATATCGATTATTATTAATTGAGTGAAAATGGGAAACGAATTCCCGAAGGAAGTCCTCGTTACGGTGAATATGAATATTCTCGTATTTGAAGGGGGTATTTTGGTGGGGTTGATCAGGGTTTTTTTAGCTGAAGCAAAAGTTGTCATCGATTGTACAAAATTACAAAAATATATCTGAATAATTAACTTAAATATATTGATATAAAAGAAACATATGGGGAGTTTATTTAATATTTAAAATTTTTTGCTTAATCTAATTAATCTAATTACTAATATTCGATCCATTTGAGCTCATTCAAGATCTTACTGTATTTACTTTTCATCTATAGTATTATTTTTCTGTAGACTCTGCCGCATACAATTTTGAGGTCAATTCCCATAGTTCAATCAGCAAAGGAAAAACCTTAAGAACACCCAAAAAGTACAGCACGGAAACAGGCCATCGGAAACATAACCGGTTTGAGTTCTTGGCTTTTATCTAAAAATTTCAAATAAAGACTCTCATAGATGCAAAATGTGTGGAGTTTTTATTGGTGTCCTTTGGCACAGCATTTTCGGGGAGATGGAGATCAGCGCAAATGCCAAGCAATTCAGCGGCAGACAAAGAAATAACCAAAACTGGACATTATCTTTGCCGAAAAACAGTGAAAAAACAGTCATGCGGGCCAAATCATATACAGATCACAAGAGGAAGCCAGAAGAAACCCACCCCGAGGATCTGAAACCCAAATCCCGAACTGAGCCCGAGACCAAGTGACCAGCGGAGGCTGGGGAATGACCAGCAGAGAAAACTGGTTACTCACAAGAAGGCAGGGAAGGGAAGGGTTGATGCTCATCTTGGCCGGAATGGGTGTCAAAGTTCAGCGTCAGTTGATGCTGTTGTCCAGTTTGGAAAACCGGCCTGGATCGGTCGCTGGAGTTCTGGGCTCGAATCTGTTGAAATTTTGATGTGAAAGTTCAACAAAACGGTCAAGGGATTTCTTATAAAAGTTCCATGTCCTGCCACAGATGCGGATGCTGATGCTGAGATCGAGCGTGAGAAAGTTTTCTTCGCCTACCGGCCCCGGACCCGGCGACGAACGAAACTTGTTTGTATTTAATGTCCTGCCGCAGATGCTGCACTGTTGGTCCTCCTCCTTGTGGATGGAACCAGGCGCACTCCTTGGATCAACTACTCAGCCGACGAGTCGATTTATTCATGCTATTTGGCCAGTTGCTTAATTGCTAACCAAATGCCAAGTGCCACGGAGCAGCTCCATTCCCATTCGAATTCCAGCAAGCCAGGCGACCAAACATTAGCTCACGAAATGGCCAAAAGCCATCCATTGTTTGTCTATAAGTTGCTTCGGTAATTGTCCTCGAAGGGAGTCACCATTTAGCTTCATCTGGCTGCCGATGAGTGGCCATGGCCCCACCGCCGAGTATTAGCTTAGATATTCCATTAGGACATCGATTACTCAGACATGCATTGATTTTTTTACAAGTGACTGCCAATTTCAATGCATAAGCGATGAGAGCACGTCCACTAATGAGCTGCTGGACGGTCACACATTTGTGGAGAGAGTTGGAGGAGTTAACAGCCGAATCGGTCACTAAGGCAGCTAAGTTTCTATTAAATGTAACAGTGGTTTAGCTCATTGCCTCGATTTGGAATTAACTTTTATCTATGTATATTTTATATATTTTCAATGATATCCCATGGAACTATGACATTCCGCTCTAGGAACTAGAAGCTAGAGAGGACACTTCGGAAAAGCAATGGGTTATCGTTTGTTTCATATTCAGTTTTATTCCTAGGAAATTCAATGAAACTATTAAACACTATTATTATTATTACTACCAAATTATTTGTTACCCGTTAAAACTACTGTTTGTTATTTTTAGCTACATCTTGCAGAAAATCCATGAATTTTAACGGTCTCCAGATGGAGGTATAGAGATAGAGGTGTTCTTAATGAACGAATAATTCAGAAAAATGACAGGCGACAGTTGCCCATTTTGGCGGGCCAAAATCAACCAGTTTTTTGTAGTTTCGGCAGCTTTTCGGGTCGGGTCCAGTAATTAAGCTGAACTCTCGGACTGCGGGATCTCAGATACTGAGATGCAGGGAGAAGTCACAGGAAAGGAGGCAGGGAAGGGGCGGCACAGCAAACACTCAGGAAAAGCCGGTTCTGGGACAGTGATAGCCAATAGCGAGACAAGATACTTTTGGACAATACCAAGATAAGCAACAATGCAATGAAATTCAAAAGAATTCAAACTAACCCTTAAAAAGATAATAGAACCACCACCACCTAAGACAATCCAATCCAATCCAGGAGTCCCAGACGCGAATATAAATATGTGAAACTTTTTAATGCCTGCTTTTGAGCAGATTTGCTTAATTTACTATTAGCGAGGACTACTTTTTATCTAATCTCGTTCACAACCAAACACATTTGGACAGACGAAGCTATTTCCTGCTTTTCCTTTTTACTGAAGAGATGTACACAACTCGTATTTTCCAACAACACTTTTATTGTGCGGCGCAACGTGTTACGCTAAGCACCAGAACTAAGCTAACAAAACAATGCATACTTCAAGGCGAAAAGGCGCAACAGGCGGCCGTTTGGGATGGGTTGACAGGGGAGAGCCGGCATCTAAACGTCATCATCGTGTTCTACTGAGCGCGGGCGTGCGAGAAATATGAGCGAAAATGTTTTGCCGCCAAGCCGGCTCTCGCGCGCTCCGGAGCAGCCGGAAAATATGCTACGTAAAAATGCAAAACATCCGTGGCCCGAGTTAGGGGTGGCTCTGGCCCAGGCGTCGGGTTGGACAAAGCTGCTCGACATTCGTCGGGTTGGTTGCCCTTCGATTGCGCCACATATTGAGGTAGGCACTTGGATATTTGCTCGCCGATTTTTGAGATACTCGTACCACAAGATACATGCTTAAAGCCAGTTCCCGTTCCCTACCCTTTTTGGCAGTCTGACCCTGTCCTCCGTTGACTTGGCCGTGCAAAGTTCAAAGATGCCCGGAGATGCAACCGGTTTGTATCTGGCAGCCTGTCTTCGACTGGACCTCAAGTCGTTCCGTTCTCGCTTGGTCAGCAGCATCCATCCTTTCGAGACGTGTTCGGGAGGACCACGATCACTTGGGCCCTCAGTTTAGTTTGAACTTTCATTCGGTCGCGTCGCGTTCGCTGTTGTTGAGTTGATCCTTTTCGGCCTTGGTTATTTGTTGAGCCGATAAGTTTCGACTTTTGTTTTTCGTTTTTGTGGGATTTCTGTTAAATTTGATATTGTTAAACAATCATTTTCGTTAACTCTTTGTTAAAACGCTTTCGTTACAAGCAAATTCGATTTAGGCTGATGTTGTGTGGAGACTCAAATACAAAACTACATCAGAAGTACGGTGACAAGTGACTAAAACAAGTACAATATAAAATAGAAATCTTAAGAGTGTGCAATTGTTCCGTAAAGTGCTGTATACTCCAGGTTTATTGATGTGCTGTCTAATATATTGGCAGATTAAATATTTTACAAGACTATAATAACTATAATGTGTTTTTGCACTCCCAAAGCTTGGTCAGATTTTTGCAGCACACAGAGAAATCGCCTCCGTCCTCACAAAGGGACCGATTCGATTCGTAAATCGATGGTTTCCATACATAGTATAGAGTCCAATTTTGTTTGCCATTGGAAAATTGAAAAAATATCTATTTAAAGAACACCTTTATTTAGTAGCATCATAAAATGTCCAACATTATCTTAAATTTTTATTTTTTAATCAGTGTATATATATTTTTTATAAATTCGTTTGAAAGTTGTAATTGCAAACAATTCATCAGACGATTAGCACCATAATGGATTTTACATATTTTTTATTTTGAATAGAAAGAAAATACACATAAAACCATGCTGCAAGTTACATTTGGATGCCACGCAGTTTACAAATTCAAGCTAAACTCATCTTTTCTTTTGGCAATACAAAGAAAAGTCCTTTCATAGTTATTTGAACAAATTACGAATGGTATCAATGGATTAAACTGGACTGTTCGCCTTTGACGAATGTGTTTCTAAGCCGAAATGGAAATGATTTAAAATTTATTTGTGACCTTCTCCCTTTCAGAACCCCCACGAAATCCCACTAAACGAAGAATAGAACACAACTTAGCAGAGCCCAACTTCAAAAATTCTAATCACACTTCCCTGCTTACCCATCCTGACCCAATGCTATCCATTATCTCTTGGCCTTTGATCTGATTGTGCGAGTCTTGCCAAAATATTTATTAGTTTTGATTAAGCTAGTCCTCTGTGCGATCATGGAAAAGTCTAATGGAAGTCGCAAGCACAGCCTAGACCAGCTCGAGCCTCCTCCGCCTCCGCCTCAGTCCCAGCCGCAGTCTTCGGTGGCCTCGCCGATGCCTGCCTTGGTGGAGAACTGGAGTGGAAAGCGGAAGCTCTATGCCATCGATGAGCGCGAAGAGAGCTCGCCGGTGACTGTGGGCGAGGTGGAGGCGGAGACGGCCTATGATGCGGATGTGGACGAGTTGGAGCAGCCCGTGGGTCAGCGTGAGATCATCTACGAGCTGTTCCAGCCCTGGGCCCTCTCCACCTACGGCGATCAGGCAAAGACCAAGACGATAACGCTGCGCAAGAAGGCGCGCATTCTCAAGGCGCTGGAAGGCAAGGAGCACAGTCGCCCGGATAGCTCAAAATTTCGCTTCTGGGTGAAGACAAAGGGTAAGAATCGAAAGAGCTGCTTCCTGCGAAAAATCCACAGTTGACCCACTTCCTTTTTGTTTGCTTTTGTAAGCAGGTTTCACCACAAATCGTCCCGACGGCTATGAAGAGGCTGCCGGCAGTCGACGACGCCTGAAGCCTCTTCCCATTTCCGCAGTTCTCTCGGACAATCCTGGCGATGTGGATCTTTTCGCCGCATCGACCAGCAAGGGATTCGGTCGTCGGATCTACCGCAAGGTGGCCTGTGTAGAGGAGTTCTTCGACATCATCTATAACGTGCACATGGAGCTGGGCGGACGCAGTGGGATGCATGCTGGCCAAAAGCGCACCTACCGAATTGTGAGTGTAGTGTATGGGAAGAACAAAATTCTGAAATCGGAGAACTTATAATGATTAGCCAACTAAAACACTTCGCTTCTGTTCCTCCCCCCAGATAACGGAGACCTACGCTTTCCTGCCCCGCGAGGCGGTCACCCGCTTCCTTACCATCTGCCCCGAGTGCAAGAAGAACCTCAGACCCTCCTCGCCGACGGGGGGATGCAAGGACTCAGAGCTGGCCGGCAATGAGAGCTCCTCGGAAGTGGAGAACTATCTGAATTATTCATCGCACACGGAGAGCTCCTTGGAGGCGGGACCCACGGCCAAGCGGCGGCGCCACTCAAGTGCCGATCTCAAGGGTTCAGTGCCCGTGGCCGGGGTGGGCGTTGGCGCCGCTGCCAGCAGTGCCAGTGCCACACAACTCGATGTTCTCGGAGCCCCTCCACCCAGTCCCACCGCGATACAACCCCGCGCCCTGGCGGCTGTCGAGACCACTCCGGTTAGCGTGCCCAAGATACGGGTCAAGACACAGTTGCAGCGTCCGTTGAGTCCACCGGGGGGAGTTCCAATCACAGGGCCCGGTGTTTCAGCTTCCGAGTTGCCCACCCCCAACCAGGGACAGCCCCAGAGCTTCAACATGCAGCTTCTCAAGTCGCGGGATAATCTCCTCAAGTACTACGACTTTATGCGACGCTTCTATGCCGGTGGCTCGGTGCTTCATGAACCGGTCCTAGCGCCGCCCCTCTACGGCAGCAGCCTACTGCAAAGCCTCAGCTATCCAACCACCAACACGACAAGCAGCACTACTACGCCAACCCCTTCTACTACCCCTGCTCCTATCTCTACCCCTACCCCTAACCCTACCACTAGCCTTACCACAAGCCCAGCAACCACCGCAGCACAGAGCAAGAGCTCGGCACCTCCCAGGGCATCCTCCCCAGTGCCGACGACGACTCCGTCCGCTTCCTTTACCACCTTCAAGACCTCCCCAGATAGTTTGTCTCGGGCACGCTCACCGATACCGATGGCCTCGGTAGCCACGCCTTCCGATCCCCAAGTGTCCCATACGCCGATCAATTTAACGAAATCTCTATTTTGCAGCCCGAAGAACGGGAGTCCTGCCTCGACCTCGACACCAGTTGCCGTGCAGGCCCCGCTCAAGTTGGAGCTACCCAGTCCGCCCAGGTCGTTGCCAGAGCTTCGCATTCCCCAGATACGTGGCATGCCGCATGTGGAGCTGTCCTTGCCGCTGCCTCCACTCGACTTGGAACGACTGAAGCCCATTACCTCCACGTACTTGCAGTTGACACGCAGCATGGGACTGAGCGACGAAGATGCCTTGCGCTTTGATAACCTGGTGAGTAAAGACTTCAAGTACTCGCTGTAGACCTAAGAGATGAAACAGCAACCGTCTTTGGGAATTACCTCCAACATACGAGTATTCTTCATAACGTTTCCGTCCCATTTAATATTGCAAAGAGAAGCATTTCGGTTTGAGGGAGTTGATCTCAAATCATGTTGGATGTTCACATTATTATATTATAAAACTTCAAACTTATATTATAAAACTATCTACCCTTCTATATTTTCAAAAAAAATTTCATCTATTAGAATAATAATGACATAAAACAATTTGATAGTTTTCGTTTTTTGACGATAAAAACTATTTGTTATGACCAAACATTGCCGATTCCGGCCACAAATCACATATTATTATTCTATCCAATTTGATATATATTTTATTTTATACAGTATTAAATTTGAATGCCTTTGGCGATTTACAACGTTTATTAATAACTTATATTAAAACTGCAAAAATTACAAAAAATTCCAAAAAAGGAAAAAGGAAAAAGAAAAAACAAATATAACATGCTTTTTAGTTGCACAAAAAACAATCATGCAAATGCAAAACAACAGTGATGCACACGAAATGCACAAATTTTTCAAATATTTATTCCCTTTGTAATTGTTTTTATGCTTTGTTGAATTTGCCAACACTTTTAATTAGTTCCGACTACCGTCGGGCCGGGCTTTGCTTCATTTTCCATTCAATTGTACCGCCTAGACTAGATTTAAGACACCCACCTATTGCGAATCTCACACTTTTGATTTACAAACAATTTTTTACTAATCTAGTTTCTCTTTTCTCTGACATGCTTGGCTTATAAATGTAACGCAACTAATGCAATGCTAACGAGCGAAAGAGACACTGACAGCGAGAGAGTTCTGTCAGATCAACAATCACTACTCTGAAAAAACACAACAACCACAACCACCTCTGCAACACCAACACGCACCCGTTTCGGCCACACCAATGCTTTATGCACAAAATTATGCAATATTTGTTGTTTGTTAATAATTTTGCTTTGAAATTCAAATTGAATTTCTCGTTCCGTTTCGTTTCGCTTTTATTTTTATAATTTTTGATCTCTTTATGCTTGAATTATTTTTGCTGCAATTTATGTATATGTTTTCCGCTTTAATTATGTTGTTAACATGCCTAATCTATTAATTTGTATTATTATTTTTATTTTAATACTATTTTCGTTGAATTTTGATTATTGAAATTATATTTTTTCTTTCGTTCGATTCTTTACAGCTCAGTTGCTAGCGCAAGACAAAAGAAATTGTTTGTAATAAACTAGATTAACAAAACCATTCCATCTATGCTTTTTAATGACTTTGGCAAGGAATCTAAAAAATGCAAATTATTTAGTATGCTTATTTAGGAATAATAATTATTAGCTTGCCTGCAATTCTGAATATTTTAGAGCTCTTTGTAGTTGCCTAACTTTAAAGATGCGAGACGCGTTACAGGTAAGATATTATAATAAGCTTGAAAATGCTTGATATTCTTATATTCATCATTAAAGCATAATATTAAATAATTTACACCGACACAGATTGACATTGACCCTTACTCACTTCCCTCGCCATCATTAATCACCGTGTTAGTTGAAGTGGAGGTCAGTTGCTGGCCCACTAAATATTCCCTCAAAGCCCCTACTGATAAGCACTTTCATTTGTATTATTATTTATTAATTTATGCTCAATGTATTTCCGCGAAGACATACTTCTCATTAAGTTAATCGGTCTCAAAATTAGGTCACTTGGTGGGCTGAGGCTCCTGGCGGATTTGCTCCTCCTCTCTGACAGTGCTAAGGACAAATCTGGCACTCAGGACGCGTCCATCCTTATCCACAATGGTCTTGACCACTTCTCCATTCTGGGCTAATATATCCGACGGGCTGAGATTCACCTTCGATAGGTAGTCCTCGATCGACTTGTCCCCTTCTTGTGGAGCATTCGCCGTTGGTCGTCTGGTGGGCAATGGAGGCGGAATGCTCTCATCTGTATTCCCATCTATTCTGGGGGTCGTCCTCTGCTGCAAAAAGTCGTCGAGAGGTGGAAGAGGCGTGGTCGTTAACATGTCCAGCCCGAAGCTAGGAGCCAGTGCGGGTAGAGGTGTAGTCGAACGGGGACTAGGCATTGCAGGAAGGGGAAAGCCCAATGAAGGCCGATTGGGATTGGGTGGCGGTGCTTGTCCCGGGAAGTGTTGGTGGGGCAGGACTGGGAGAGAAGCAGGAACGGCGGGCCTGGGTGCTGCTGAATTTGGAAACTGCGACTCGAATAGATTAGTTCCCGGATTCAGCGGGCCGCTGTAGAAGCTGGACACACTCGTGACGGTCCGTCCTTGATCATCCGTCTCGGTCTTGGTGGTGGTGCGTGGCGTTACCCCGGGTGGCAAATTGAATGATGGCCAATGAGCTGGCCACTGGGGAAAACCGTTCGAGCTTCCGAAGCTGCCGAAGGTGCTGCCAAAGCCATTGCTCAATGAAAATCCGAAGTCCGTGCCAAGATTCGGGCTAAACTGTTGGCTCAGTCGATTGGGTAGTAGCTCCCAGTCCTCATTGGGCTTAGCCGCGTCTACATTCGCCTCCAGTCTTGCCGGGCGAGTGTCCCTCGTTGTAGTTCGCGAGATGCTCGTTCCGTCCGCCGACAGCTCGTAGGTCACTGAGAACATCTGACCCTCAGCGTCCGGCTTAGTGATAACCACCGGCTGCTTAGTGCGCCACAGCTCTCCCATAGTCACGTCATCGATTTGCAGCGCCCTGGCCTGTTCCATTAACCACTGGCTGGGTCCCTCGGCACTGGGATACGCTGTTGCTGTTCCCATCTGCGAAAACAAGTATATGACGTCATTTGTGGGCTTACTACAAGGCAAGTCGTCTGACCTACCACGAAACAGAGCAGCAGCAAGCTGGCGATGCTGGCCTGTAGTCTAGCGACCCTCATTCTCGATATTTGCGAGTCACTTGTGAACACTTTGGCGGTCTGAACTGCACTGAGCTGAGCTCCGTAGAAGTGTCTGATAATTACGCCTAAGTTGGCTAATCAGACTCGTATATACATCTGTATATATGATGTACGGGCATGCACGTAATACATATTCATTATTAGCTTAAAGGTTATCGCTCTGTGTGGTGGGGTTTGTAAGCAAATTGGGATTTTACAATCAGAATGGGAATACTTTCAATATTTTATTTAGTGTAAAAGCTCACCTGCAAAAACGCATATAACGAGTATTGAATTATTGAATAATTATCGTTAAATTTCTGATTAGTATATCTTTTAAAAGCCACCAACGATTTCTCATATTTATTCTATATTATGGCCTTGTCTCAACGGTTCTCAACAACGGCCTGGCCGTCTAAATATAGACAAATATAAAAAGTTATATATACAGTTGAAAATTAAACACACTGATTGACCCAACCGTCACTTCACGGAGGCAAATGCTAGCAAGCTTTTATGAAAATGAAATGGCTCTTAGGGAAAAGAAGGGAATTTTCTGTCACACCAAACTGAGAATCCTCCACCTATTTTGAGCATTATTTGAAAGATGATACAGAATTGATCCAAGCAGCTTATACAATTTTGATATCATATTGTTAGTTCTCTAGGCGGGAGCGGTTCCCCTATTTTATGGCCAACAAGCCACACCAGGAACGTCAGCACCAGCATAACTGCCTCTAAAGGTTAGGCACTAAAAATAAAATCTGTCAAAAAATAACGAAAATAATATGGGACCCAAAAACGGGAGAACGACAAACACGTTATGATGAGACGACAGAAATAAAAATTTACCCGTACCCGGTGATGTGCCTCTTGGCTGCTCCGAGTGTGTGTGTGGGCTTGGGTGTGGCCTGAACGGGTGACCAGAAAGAGACTGAGAACTGAGGATATTGAAGATGCTGCCCCAGCGATAGGGGCAGGGAGCTAGCCTGGAATTGGTGTCGTGGTCCGGCAACGATCCCCAAAGGGTGCAACAGCAGGACCGGACTCCGGGCAATGCCATGCAGGATTTACGCTAAAAAGACGCCATAAACTTTGAATGCCAACAGAGAGCAGGAAAAAGGGACCAAAATTGGAATTTGATAGACGCCTGGGCTCTAGTCCTGGTCCTGGTCCTCGTCCTGGTCCTGGTCCCGGTCTGCGTCCGGCAACGTGTATTGGAAGGAGTACGGGTACGGCACGGGTTCGTGTCCGTTCACGTCTCCTTCCCATCCTGTTTCCGAGTTCAGAGGCCGTTGCACGCTTGCCTCTCGCCCTGTCCCAAGTATTGACGACTTTTTAAAAGGGTCGAACCAACGTCGACGCTGTCAAGGATAAAGACGGAGGGCTATAGAGGGACTATAGACGATAGACGAGGACGATGGCAACAAGGCTTAGAGGATGGGGATGAGGGCCAAGGGCTGCGTTGGCGCGTGCTATAAACCAACCGATTTGAACGCTTTCGAGGTGAGTCGAGCCGAAGGTGTCTGTGTTTGCGAGGAAGTATATGAGAGGGTGGGGGTGTGGGCGGTATGGGGCATAGAGCAGGAGCGAGTCTGGGGGTGGGACCACCCAAAGTTATAAAACTTTACAGTTAACTAGGCTTGGCAATCAAGCTAAAAGCAAAGGCGTCGTCCTCATCCGTGCATCCGTATCCCGCTGTCGCTGCTGCTGTTCGGTGTCGCGCGTCTCGTCTGGCGCCATCTAGCGACAGTCGTCGGTCTGCGTCTCCTTTCGGAGAGCCAGCCCCCAAAAATAGGGATGACAAGCCCAAGCCCCAAACGCGTCCGAGCACCTCTAAATGTGAGCGGGTCAACTGCCACTTGACCGTATGTGTGTGTGCCTGTGTCTGCCCTCTGTCCCAGGTGGGTGAGTCGGTGCGCGGGCTACCCTTAGACCCAGCTCTTGTCGCGACCCCCACTTCAGTGCCTTGGCTTGCCCAATGCGCCGTCTGTATATCCAAATCGGTTTCCATTGCCTTTTGTTTCAGCCTTTTTGTATGGACATTTCACCAGTCTAGCAGATATGGAAGATATTGTCTTTGGACGTTTGAAATTTTTAAAAGAGTTTCTTACCCTCAGGCGAAGGGATCATATCGATGGGGATGTGAAATCTGGGGTGATATTTGTATTCAAATATATTCAAAATAGCTATGAAATTAGTTTGAAACGATAATAATAAACACCGGTTTATCTAAACAGTACTTCGTAATCCCATATTTCATTCGTCTTCAATTGATCTCTCTTCAGATATTCCATTAAAATGAAGTCTTTAAATTTCCAATCCACCCCGACATTTCTGTGAGACGCATTCTTATGTTTAGGTACTTCTTTAAAAAAGAGAATTCATAGCCAGCAGCGGACCGCACCCCTAGAAGAAGAACCACGACCGGTCCCGGTCCCGAGAACAGCCCTTCTCCTTGTCCCTGCCCAAATCGTAGCCAGAAGAAAGCCAGAGAGGAAGACCGAACCGTCTGTCAGTCAGGGGCGGTGGGTCGATGGGCGGTAGACGGAGTTTTAGTGCCTCTGGAACATGGGTCGGGCACTTCTTCATTAATTTTCATGGCGGCACAAGAACAATGCCCCGCCTGTCCCCGCCCCGCCCTGCCCCACGTGGAGAACAGAAATGTTGGAGCGAAAAAAAGTTTCGCCGGCTCGGACCAAGTTGTGGGTGTGTTTTGTGCAAATGAGTGAAGGTGGAGACGCTGTCCTCCTTCTTGTCCTCGTTCCGTCGCTGTGAGCCAGAGTGTGTGTCTCTCTATCTCTATCTAGCGTTCTCTCTCTATCTCTCTTCCTCTCGTTGTATCTGTGTGAGTGTGGCTTGATTACTTTCTGTTTTAGGGTACCGTCCCAACCCTCCTTCTCGGCTGCCTTTCAGAAAGGGACTTCTGAGGCAAAAACGCATTTTTATGTTTGCTCGCCCGCCCGCCCAGCCAGCGGTCCTTATTCTCTCCCCCTTTTTTTTATCGCAAGCAGGATGCGAATCCCTTTTTTTTGCCTAGCTACCAGGCCACACCCCCCGTGGCAGTCACGAGGATGGGGCAGGGAGAGGGCAAGGCGACTGAGACCAGAGACGCTGCCAGGCAGAGAAAATCGTCCCAACCTCAACCAGCCTTCGATGGAAAAAATTGCAAGTTTTGCTGGGGAAAAAGCCAAGACAACGTCTTGGAGTCACTTTGACATGGCCATGGCCAGGGACAGACCGGTAACCACTGGCCCAGACCCAGACCCAGCTTCTTCTCTTTTTCTTTCCCCCTGGGCTGCTCTAATGAATTCCCATCCAGGCAACTGGGCAGCATCTCCGGTGCAGAGAGCAGAGACGAGAGAGAAAAAACAATTAAAGTGGGATTTTGGTGGGGTGAAGATGGAGTTGGAGACGGTCCCGTAGCCGGAGGTGGAGATGGAGTCGAAGGTGGAGATGGCGATGGCCCAGGCAGACGCACCCATAATCATAATTGCGCGCCCGAAACTTGTCGATTCATCTCCCGACCACCCCCACTCCCCACCCCTTGGCAACCCCTTGCTGTCTTCTAATTCTCAATCCCCCTTCGCTTAATTGTTCACTGGGCTTCCAGCTTGTTTCCTTTTCAGATATCTTTACCCCGTTCCCCCTTTTTTCCTCTTCTCTTTTATTCTGAATTTTTTTTTTCTTCAAAATTTTCACTCGCCTTTATTTTGTCAATTTGCTTGGAGTTTTTCCTCATTTCTACATCTTTTTTCTTCAGCTTCTTGTGACCATTCTTGCACGATTTTTGTGTTTGCTGATGAGCTCTGAAAGTTGCCGAACAAGGTGGCAATTACTTATTTTGGCATTCGCCGAGACTTGTGTTTTAATTACTAGCGAGATTCGAATAGGTCCGGCGACTTTGGATAGGATTTGGGGGGATTTTATTTTGAAGCCGTCACATTTTCCCCTTGGATCTAGAAGATGGTTTCTTTTATTGAGTGTTGCCGGAGATCGTCCTTTGATTTTGAAGGAGCTGGAAGTTGGAGATACTTTTTTTTCGACTCTTTATATAATTGATAGTGGGGTTAATTTTGCAGTACAATGAACTCTTCGGTATTTCTGAGTGATACTTTGTAATGTAAGATTTTAATTGGTTTTTTTATATATTTTTGTTGACCATAGACTATGGTAAATACTCGTATTAAGGAACGTTTCAGTAGGGATAAAAGGCATATTTATATGTGACTTATTTGTGGTTAGTTTTAGGATATCTCATGAATTTAAAATGCTTTAGGGGTCAAAATGTTCACAGTTTGGTCTAAGAACAGCTTCTGCTCTATCACTTAAACACAGTCCAGACAATTTCTTTCTCCAATCAATACTCCATCCATTCCAATAACCAATTTGACTTCAATTACCGAAACACTAAAAGAAGTACAAAACATGAGCAAAAAGGAAGAAAATTGCATTTCTGCCAATGGAGCTTCCGTTGAATGCAACAGCAGCAAACAGCAGGCAACAAGCAACACGATGTTGAGCGATGATGTTGATGACGAATAAACAAAAGATTAACCCCAGACAACAGCAAACAGAACTGATCAAAGAGTGTCCCAGAGAGAGCCAGGAGGGGGGTGGGGCACAGAGTCGGTAGAAAAAAAGAGTGGAACAATCAAATAATGAATTCCTTTGGCAAACGACAAATTGATAAATTAAACGCCACTTATGGCAGCAATCAAACAGAGCTGTTTATGTGTGTGCGTCTGTGTATGGGTTTCTCTACAAGTGTCTGTGTCAGCCGGAAGAAAGTGCAAAAAGAAATCAAAATAGCGGCAAGGACACGCAGGACAACAACAGGAGGAGAAACAGCCGCAAAGTGCACGCAAATTGAGGCAGCAATAAAAAACAGCATAAACAAGCGACGCCAACAAATAAAAGCAAAAATAAAAGTCAAAGGACTCTCTCCCTCTCTCTTACAAGCACTGCCACACTTGTATATACAACACACACACACACGCATACACATGTACATGTACACGGTCATATAC